ATGTTATCACCAATTGTCTAAAACATGGCTTTGGAGGACAAATTTTTAGGGAAATTGGGAAAGGATTTTTGAGGGAAGTAAAATAAGCTTATTCAATTTGAAAATCTTTTTCTCTTCCGCCGAAACCCCCACAAATAAAGTGTCTTTAACAACCCATTCGAACCGCACTTCCGGCAATTAAAGGAGGCGTTTTCAAAAGGAAACTTGCTGATCTTGCAAGTTTCCAAGGAGGGGAAAGGGATTCGCGGAAAAAGGAGAATATTTAAGTGAAGAAACACGGATTCTTCGTACGGAATCGGGCAAAAATAGAAAATTTGGCAATAAGATTTTCGGGAAATGAAAAAAAGACGGTTAGATTTCTTGAAATTATGCATGACTCCTCCAAAAAGTAGATCGCAATTTGCAGGCGCAACTGAGATATTGAACAATATTTTTGCGAGAGAGCACGTAAAATGGGGAGAGTCGGTCAGAGAAAATATATTTTTTGCCTCTAACTCTCTGATTCTCGCTGGGGAAAATTTTTCTTTTGTAAAAAAATTCTGTTCCTTGCTTCTAAACATAAATACATAAAGTCTAAACAGCATCATCAAAAAAATTTTTTTAATTTTTTAAATCTTGGACCCAATTTTTTAATTATTCTAATTCGCCCTGGACTGTTTTTTGTTTATCAAGTCCTAAAATCTCCTCTAAAATTTATTCAGTCCAAAAATCACGCTCTAAACTTCATTTCAAAACACCTCCTTCGCATCTGAACCCCCACTACAATACGCTCATTTACAAGTCAATTTCGAAGAATTGCAAAAAAGATTCCCCCGACAACCGAATCACAGTTTCACAACCAAACTAATTTACAATTTTCCCTCCGGCATTTACGATTTCTGAACGCCTGAATTTTCATTTCAACTTTGTACTTTAAAAATTTACATCTCGAATCTCGGCCTTTTTTCAGGTGAAAAATGCGACTTTTTGTGGGGTAAAAAGTAACTTTACAACTTGATGTTGACAGAACAATTTGAGAATATAAAAAGTTGAGCCATTGCGCTTACAGTTAAATCTCTTGGTAGTAACAGTTTTGAAGGTAAAAAATTGTAAAGTTATATACAAATAAAATTAATTAAAAAGGGTGGGCAAAGGTTATGTTGTAGTGAGATATTTGTAAATATTATGACTATAGGTGCTACTTTAATGTAATGTCTGGCTCGAATGCACAGACACAAAAATGTTTTTGGTATTAGAAAAAATTTTTGAAATAATGTATTACGATTATAGGTCCTTACAGAGTAATTAAACTGTCTGCAATTTGTGTATCAAAAATTTAGGCGAGTAAAAACGAAATTTTCAGAGAAAACACTAAATTTTAAGGCATTTTTATCAAAAAAATCTCAATTTTATCAATTCTTCGTTGCCTCTGGTCAACTGGTCACACAGAAACTTTCTTGCAGAGCAATCTGACTAATTATGAAGGAAATATATTCTTCTAAAGTCTTCTAAAGCCATCAAAAATCTCTTCCAAATCCCATTACTCTCCCAAATTCCCCCTTAACAAATCCGTTAATTACGCTTCCAAAAAAATTCTGCAGATAATCCCAAATGCCAAATTGAGTGGCAAAATACCTGACAAAACCTGTGCCAAACTCACAAACCATCGGAATTTCCCACCAGTAATCATGTTAGCCGTTTTCTTGAAGGTAGTTCTCATGATGAAAAACAAGAAATTCTGAACAATAATGTATAAAGTAGAAGTAAATTTCGTTTACATATGTCTGCCGTACTTTGAACTTTACATAAAGAGGGATTTCAGGGTCTTTGAGGGACAAAATTTTAAAAAATTATATTGATTTAGCCATTTCAAGGCTAAATTAATAAAAAAAAAATACGTAAATCGCTAAAATTTTGTTTAAAAATTACTTGAGAAGAGTCAAACTGCCTTTCAACGTCATCCTAGTAATATTTCACCCTTTCGTTTTGCTATTTCACACCTCAGAATCCCGGATATTACACTAGCCCCAAAGCCCACCAAAGATTAGCCCATGGAAAGTATGGCCAACTCGAGTGTCAAAAACTTTGGAAAAAGGGGAGAAAACTTTGGGAAAGCGAGAGATTCGGGCTCTCGGGCCACGGCATTGGCCTCAAAAAAGAGCCGAAAGAGAGAATCGGAGTCCGAAATCTCGTTTTCTCCGCGCTCTCTCGTCTCGCCGCGTCTCTCCGACTAATCGGATTTGGGTTTTTCAAAGCCAATAATAAGCAGCGATCTGTAATTTAGTAATTTAGGGGGCTTTGGGTTGTAAAATCTAGATTATTTTTCGCTCTTTTTATTACTTGATATTTCAAAAGTTCAAAAATTATTTTTTCACTTCAATTACTATCCAAAACAATAACATCATGCTTAAAAAAATTTGTAGACCGTCTGGAGTTCATAGAGATTAATATTTTGCCAGAAAAATATCAAAAATTAAGAGAAAATTAGCCTTTTTGAAGTTTAAAAAAACGATGACTAATAAAAATAGTGCTAAAGGAAGCCGAATAAAGCGAAATTAATCCCTGCTTTGTCCCATAAAGCTTTCGTTACTTCCTTTCAGCCATTTAATCGGCAATTATCCCTATTTTGAGTACAGACAGCAATTTTGTCATAGACAATAAGGAAATTTAGATTTTCGAGATTTTTCGCCCTAAACCAACTGATATTGACTGTAAAGTTTGGCTCAGAAACATTGAAAACTTTCCAATTTTTTGCTATAATGAAAAATGAGAGAGACATTTAAGCCCTGCGGGCTCCGGGAATGCGTGATGTGAGGCGATTCCGTGGAATGGCGAAACAAAAACATCTTCTCAATGTACATTTTAATTCCCTTTTTTGGTATTGCACAACTTGATAAGGACCGTTGTTCAATTAAGCAGCTTTTTCAAGAAAACGAATATTATATACAATACTCAAATCAAGTGATTCGCCGTTCAATTCGACGAAATTTTTTGAGGGGATTATCTCCAGAAATATGAGCACTTATCTCTATTATAATTTTTAGACGTAAAGCGCTGCGGATAAGAGGGAAAATGGATTAGGACAAGGAAGAAATGCCGTTGTTCTCCCATGTAAAACCAGAGGAAGTGGTCTTTCCCGAAATAAAATGGCAGAAAATGAAAATTTTAATTAAAAACGTCATGAATAATATAATAATTTTGATGATTTTCGACACTTCAGCCCGAATATCCCTCGTATCATCGGCGAATCCGATACTTTGGAGACGATTGGACTCTGCGGGATGGGTATTTGTTCAAATACTGATAAAACGGAGTGTATAAAAAAGCAAATAAAAAGTGGGGAATATCTAGTGGTTTTTGTTTGCCCATCCCCGTTCGAGATTGATAGCCGCCCCTTCGCGGTGCTGCAACACAAATTAGACCCTCATCCATACCCTCAGAGATTAATTGGCCAAGTCAAATCATCAATTAGCAGGCCTTTTGGAGCCAAATTACCTAAAGTAATATAAATTTTTGAGGATTTTCGAGAATTTCTACAAAAAAGTTGATTAAAACATTGGATAATCGATTGTAAATAAAAGAAAAGAGAGTTCTCTGCAAACATGAAAGATTTCGAATGTAAAAAATGGGATTCTTTGAAGGCCTACTACAAGATTGATGCGTGAAAAGTGCAAAAATCCCATATTTACCAAACACAAACCCGAATGGGAACCCAAACCGTCCCACTTCCTCGTTTCGCAGCCAAATCGATGCACTTTCCTTTGTATTCTCGCATTTCCATGGTAAACAAGCGCCCCACCACGCAGTTAAAATTTATTATATTTGGTTGAGAAAACAGCCATTTCGGATATTTTTCGTGCAAAACAAGGACGACCGGATACTTTTACCCGGTTGGGAAATACACTTGAACTGGACGAAAACACACAAAATAAGTGAGGAAAATTATATTACACTAGACGAAAATATGTTATTCTTGGTGTACACGCGAAAGCAGAGCGCCCAGTCATTCAACCAAATCCGTTTCCCTTTACAAAAGAGCTCGGTGTACGAGTATTCAAGAGAGCGAACAAAAGAAATCCCTTCGTCCGTATAATTAAAACCCGATCCGAGACATTGTCTGCGCTCTCTTTCCCCCGACAACTCCCTCGTGTTTATGGGGCGGACACAATAATGGACACTATTGTCCGGTCGACTGCACTCCGAGGGCCTTGTTTGTGTAAACTCGGGGCGTAATTGGGGTGGGGATTAGGGGAGAATGAGCAGATATTGTAGTAGGTATACTGACAAGCGAGTACCCCAAGTGCGACGCTCAGATTTTCTTTAAATTTTGCACACACTTCGGGCATATCCTAAATATCAATTCCTCAAAGTTTTAGCTCGCGCTTCGCAAGCGCCGCCGAGATATTCAACGACCTTTGCAACCGAGAGAGTACGCTAAACGCGGAGAGCGGTCAGAGAGAACAGCTTTTTGGCCATAACTTTGCTACTTTCGTGCGGAAAAAATTCGTTTTTTGTGGAAACATTACCCTTTATGTTAGAAATAGGTATGCAACTTTTCGTGTCGAAATTCGACAAGAAGTCTCAAATTTTCGCCAACTTTCGATCCAGAAATCTCGGTTGTTTCTGCAAAGCGCTCGCTAGGATTTTCGCATACATTTTAGAAAAAAAAATTATAGACGAGCCCTTCTAACAACTGTTTACCAAAACAGGGACTATGACGTCATTTTAGATCGAAAAAGCGACAATTTTGTCGAAAAACACGATATTGTAGAGAGAATTTAATCCAAGCCCACAAAATTGCCCTTCTTTGCTGTCAGATCTCAAGAAAGTCAAAGAAGAGGACTCCTCCGCCTTTCCAGATGTCTGGATTCCCATTTTCTGACACCCAAATAAATTATAAATGACCACTTCTTTGAGGGACCGCCAGCAAAGGGTTCGGAGTTTTATTCAAATTCCGATAAAAACAGTTATATTACCCGTATTAGAGGTTCCTAACAAAAACAACGGAAGTCCTCTCTCCTCTACGCCCACAGCATTTTTATCTTCTGTTCCAGGCTCTTGTCCTTAGGGCATTGATAAAAACGGCGGACGTCCGGATCAATCATGGCTGTACAAATGTAGGTGGAGGAGCCGAAGAAACGATTCGAATCCAGCGAATCCTTGGCCGCCTGATCTCCCGAGTGGTTGGGAAAGAAGGTGGAGTTGGTGGAGGACAGACGGATCGGAGTTTTGGGGCTCTTGAGATCTGTGAAGTAAGGTGCATATGCAGAGATGGAGTGAGGACTTTCGGACATCTTGATCTCCTCGAACGCCTTGAAAATCCACGAAAACTCGTCCTGAAATCCGAGACGCAGGGTAAACATGCATAAAATCAAGTGTAATATTTAAAAAAACAAAAACAATACCTTGAACACTATAAACTACTGCAGAAGCTGGATAATATGAGAATTTTACAAAAGTAGAGCCATCGACAAGCGATAGTTTGACCAAGATTTTCACATCAACACCAAAAATTTACAGAATTTTGCAAAAAGAATAAAATTATTTCTGTGCGAGCTGCGCCCGAACAAATTAGAATTGCAAGGTTATACGATAAACTGACAGTAATCCTACAAGGCCCAAAAGATACCACAACCCTCTCCGAGTCCCTATTACAATTCTTACCTCTTCATTTGCTGGTTCCACCCCGTTCTCCATGATATTTACAGTACTTTCATCTGAAGTTAATTTCAGAATGCTTTCCTCCAGACTTCTCGACCAAACTTCGTTTCGATGGTCGCGGAAGTAGGGTAGATCATACTAAAACTTTCTCAAAACAATTTTAAGAGGCTTACATCATCATCGGAATATTCTGTGAAGTCGAAAGTGAGGCTTTTATCATTCATCAAGGTCCAGTAAGACTCGTCTTTCCACGGAGTGGAATAGTGCACCATGATGGAGAGGAAGGACGACGACAGACACGTGGTCGATGAAATGCGGTAAATGAGGTGTTTTTGTTCCGAACCACAATTTTACAAATGAAAAATTTGCATATTCAAAGATGATAATTTTCCAAAGTTTTAAATTTCAAATTGCGGTGTGACTCATTTATTCAAGCGTTCACATAATAAAAATAATTTTCTTATTCTACGGTTTCTTGGACTTGTTCGACATTTGTGATTGGACAGTTGAGGTCGCCTGAGATCCGACTTGGGACATTTGAGACTGGTCTGCGGTCATCGTCATAGTCGTGGCTTCAGTGACCGTGTAGGCGGCGGATCCGAGAAGCTCCAACTTCTCTCTCTTATGGCGCTGATACCTGACTCGGCCGACCATTCCGAGAGCGAAAATGATAATTGCGACAAGCGTGGAGACAACAGCAGTCACTCCAGCACCAATCAGACCAGCGTTTTGTTTGAAACGAGAGATCACATCGCTAGAAAAGAAGGCTCTCAGATCCCGTAAAATGAATAAACTATATTTGGAATAAAAAATATTCCAAATTTAAACATCGCGCTTCTTAAAACCAGCAAACATCCCGATAAACACGACTTTTGACCTCATTCTAGCCACTTACGTGTCGCAATCCCTCTTTGCATCGATATGAATACTCGGCGCGGTAACGTTGGACCTAACTTCTTCTTCAGGCTGCTCATGGAAATAGTCAAAGGCCTGTTTGCACAATTCCTGCGAAGTCGAGGTTGCGGCCAACGCCGGCGATCGGAACTGAACTTGGAACTTGACATTACTCGTAAAACACCTATGCTGTCCGTTGTGAAACCTAAAAATCAAATTTTCAACTACTAGCGAACTTACTTGATAGTGATCAGGTTTACGCCATCTTTGATACTAAAAAACACATTTTTATGCACTATTATACACCACAATTAATATCTACAAAGAATCTCACTCTTCAAAGGTCTTCACACAAGTTTCCACGCCAACCGGCTTCCCTTGATCGAGACTGTATCCCTCAAAATGATAGCTGCCATCCTCCATATACGTACCGGGGAACTGAAACCAATTATATTATTTTACGTAACACAGTGAAAAACGTATCCCATTGCACAAATCCAACCTTTTTTTCTTCCACAATAGCCTCTGCAGGGACTTCGACGGTTGCGGCACCTTGGACATCCTCCTTCACGCAAGCCTCAACTTTGAACTTCATCGTGGACAAATCCTCACCGTCGGTCTTCCAAACCAGACATGGCTTCAAGTTGATGATGTGACCATTCATAAGAAAAGCGGTTTCCAGAGAATACTCTTCAATATTCGCAATATCATTGAATAAGCGGTCCATTTCGACCATTGTGACCGGACTAAACCCAGATAAATCACACAAAAACAAACTCACGCGGAATTGGCAGGGTCGTAAGTAATTTTTGTGACCAAGATCTTGACGAAGCCATTTTCTTCCGCCTTTCCAATGGCAAAGAACACTTGTGGTTTCTCGGCCAACAATCGAAGGTTTTTAGAATGCATGACACCTATTAAACCAATATAAAAACCAAGCAGTACGTACCATTGGCCTTGGTAAAAACACGTTTTGGAGACCTCTTCTCCGCGCCGTTGTGGATCGCAAAGAAATGTGCCTTCAACCCATCGAAACTCACGCCGGCTCCAGCTTCCGTAGCCAACCCAAACAAAAAGAAACTGTCCTGATTTTTGTCGACTGTAGTCGGATCGTAGATGCATTGCTCTAAAACATCGAGATAACCTGGGGGCAGAAAAAACCCAAAATCAAACTAATTTTGAACATCTACCCATCACAATATCGAATAAAACAGGCATCAAAATCAAAACAAATTACCTCCGGAAACTGACCAAATGCAGACTTGCATCACGAACATCATCAAGATCTTCCATTTTCCTGCTGGAAACATCATTTTTGAGACTAAAACAGGAAAATTACGTAATCCCTAAAGACGAAACTTACAATCTTATCCAAGGCTAGAAGATGTTTGCTTGGTGACGCAACAGGGTGAAATGCCGTTAATCAATCGCTTGGAACAGAGGACCTGGATCACCAAAACCACAATGAAGAACAAACGACCGACCAGTCGTTTCTTTTATACGTCAAGGAAGAAAATTGAAAATTTGCATAATTCCGATGAACGTCCATCGTACGCTCGTTTCAGATGGATAAAAAATGGAACTTCCAGCTCGTTCTTATCTTCTGCACATCCGGAGCCAAGTTTCGTCCAAGTTCTTTACCGAAAAGGATTGTGACACTGCGCAACAATCGATAGTTTTTGTGGCATTTCGTTGAATGCTTGAAATTTATTATTTTTGCGAAATCCGTTTGGTTCTGCTTCGACTTGCTTCTTTTCCTAGCTGTAGGATACCAGAATTCTCTCAAGATGTCGACTAGTTATGGACAAGTCAAGGAGGGAAAGCTAAAGCTGAAGAAGAAGAGCATGTAAGTCCTTGTAATTCCAGTTTCTATAAGTTTTATCTTGTAGATTCAAAGCTGACAAGACGAAGAAAACAAAGAAGAAGAACGACGAGGAGGCTGGAGGAAGTCAGACAGATCCCGATCAACTTGAACATGGTTAGTTTGCTGATTTTTAACATTTTTATTTTTTAGGTAATGAAGCTCCAAGGTTATAACATTTCTAGTCGTGGAATGTTTTCTTTCTACTCTGTTGACCATGTTAGCAGTGATACCTCAGAACTCTTGTTCTGGTTTAATTTGAATTATCGTTGATAGTTGCACTAAGAAATCTTGTTTGACTGTGCGAGTCACCCATAACCTTTTTATTTTTTCTGATATAGTCTACTTAATCTTTTTCCAGGTGGATGGTGGAGAATCACGGATGAGACCAACTTCCGAGGAGGTATTGAACTTGCTCTCGAAGCCGGCGATTTCTCCAATTGTTATCTGGCTGCCCAAGACAATGGCTACTTCACGCTTGGACCGAAACACTTTAATGAACTTGAGCCTCATCCAGAAGAAGTTTTATCATTAATAAAAGCTCCAGACGATGAGAAATTTAGTTTGAAAACTGGATTTGGACGATATTTGGGAGTGGAAACTGATGGGCGATTAGCGGCAACCGCTGAAGCTGTTGGACCGAGAGAGCGATTTGAAGTGGTATTTCAAGATGTAAGCTTGATATTGGTGAAAGTGGCATTATTCTATTCAATTTCAGAACAAGTCAGCGATCCAATGTTCAGCCAGCAACATGTTCATCTCATGGGAGCCAGATAAAGATGGAAATGTGTATGCGTCAAGCAAGACGGCGGGTCCAAAGCAATTTTTAAATGTGAGTTGGCTGTTTTTCTTCTTGTTTGTTTCTGAATTTAGGAATTCTAAAGTGTTTGTGAAGCTCTAGGAACATTTTTCCGCATATGATACCTAAGTTTTGCAGATCCGTACAAATGCCGCGAAAAAGGTTGCAGCAGACTTTACAGCGGCTGAAGATTTGTTGGAAAGTGGTCAATGCGAAGACTCATATGTCAAAATGTATCAACACTCCAAAGTTGACCTAAAAAATAAGCACATTTCCATCAATCTCCAGGATAAATCATCAATCAAAAAGGCCAAGAAGACCGGGAATTTGCATGAAACCCTGCTTGATCGACGTGCCAAACTCAAATCTGACAAGTATTGTTAATACTCTCGCTTTGTTTTCCAGTAGAATACTTTTTTATTACAGTAACTGCCGTTGTATTTATGATCTTCCATTTTTGATATTATACTTGATCGAAAACAAGGTAATAAAGATGGAATGTACGAAGATCGGCTCCTTTTTCATCCTCAACCGGCTTAAAACGGCACTTGAGCGAACGGATGACCATCCCCGTTCTTCCCTCAATAATTTCCTCGCTCCGTTTATGTACCGCGCCTCCGGTCTCCGCTGACAATGACCCATATTTATGCAAAGACGGCGGGAATACTGTTTGAAGACTGGGTTTAGCAGCTGGATTTTGCCGGAGGACTTGAGATGTTGGAGGGAAGTTTCTTTTCACGATATTTTTATATTATCCATGGGGCATGGGAGAACATAATCATGGGAATTTTGATATTGTCTGCTGCTAGTTAGCAACATAAGTTTCCTTTTTTTGCCTTGTAAAAGTGCTGGGAGCTCTTCGAATTTTGTTTTTAGTACTAATTGTAAGAAAATTTACTTCTTGGTTGATACCATGGATAATATAAAATTCCTGTCGAATCATAACCTTTTTCGAAAATTGGTTGCGCAAGCCCTTATCCATGCCATTTCTGACCCGCTGATGGTTAAACCCTTCGGATTTCTGCGCTTCGCGCCTTCGTTTGATCTTATTCATCACCCATTATTACCCATCGCCAAACTTCTGAACATTACGTGTACGGCTACTTATCCCGCACATCCAGCGCCGCTCTTCCCGACTTCTTTGGGGGCGCGGCGAATTGAGGGCAGGGCATGGAAGCCGGGGCGGAAAGAAGCGGCAGATCCACCCCGAGATTAGGATGGATCCATCGCCGCAGGTGCTGCTCTTCGAAAGCCCCAAATTAGGTTAAGGGATTCCAGGTTAATCATTTAAACGGGCAGGCGCTGTCGATTCGGATGGAAAGTCGTTTTTTGGAAAGGAATCCCCTTCTCCATTCACATTTTTACTTTCATTCGCGACGTTTCAGAGGTCTGGAGAAAGGTGCCGATCCCGATTTTACTTTCCAATTTTTGTGGGGTTAATGGAAAGGTCGAACGGATGCTGGTTGCGAAAAGCGAAAGTAGTCTAGTCTATTTACTTACTGTTGTTTTATTTAGACTTGAATACCGTCGTATGTAGTCGAAACAAGGCAAAAGATTGTGAGCGTACGAATGATGAATTAAGAAAACTTTAAGGATATAAATCGCTTAAGGGTATTGCAATTCTGCCGTTTATGTATTTATTCTATGAAGAACTTCTTCTACTATTCTACCGTTAGCTTTAAACCTCGATTGTGTTCTCGTAGCCAGTCAAAATGCAATTAATATTATTTTAGTCATCATTTTTCAATGCAATGTAGGGGTGTCCGTATTTTAGCATTATATCACTTCCAAATATAGAATGTTCCTCTCCGAATTTTGCTTTCAATCTTTTCCATCATCACCTGTCATCCATTTCGGGAATATCCATTTAGGGATCTTATCCGTCTTTATCTGATCCGTTGGAATGGGTTCAGCGGGTCGGAGCTTCTTCTTTTTTCTCTCGGAATCTCCGAATATGGAGCATCGCCTCAGGGTGTTCTCGGTGGGATAACGGATCAACTACCAAGTCATTATGAGTTTTTTCGGATTCCACAGGGAAGAATTTACAATTTCTTTGCAATTGATATTGTACTAGCCAACTTTAGATAATTTTTTTTGAAAGTTTGGCCTTATTATCGGAAATCATTGCTATTTATAACGATAAGATAACCGTTAGAGATGTAAAATACGTCGGGAAAATTTCTTCGCAATCTTACTCACCTTGTCTATCCCCTTTTTCTCAATAAACCCGTTCCCATTCCACGCCAATTTTTATTTACTTGATACTTTATAACCATGGCATTTACCTTTCGGCTCCCCCTTCGAATCGTTGCGGATCGATGATTTCGAATCCGATTCCTTTTCGGCGCTGCGCCGCAGGGCATTTGAACATTTTCGCGTTCCCAGAAAAAAGTGAAATCCTCGGTTTTCGGGAGGGAAATTATTGGAAACTCGCGATGGGCTGAGGGTTTTCGATCAGGTTAGGAGCTGTGGCCTGAAGCAATGAATTTATATTTGATTTTGTGGGTTTCTGTTTAACATTTGAGTTGAGTTTGGAGGCTAGTTTTGAAATTTTTTACGTCGATGATTTTTATTTTGACAGTGGAACTGATGTATCGATGTGAATTATAGATTGTAGTGATATTTCAAATATCATGAACTTTCTCTTTGCAGGGTTTCAAGAAGTTTTTTCCAGGATGCAAAGGGCAGTTTTAGCCCTACTTCTCGGCTGCCAGTTAGCCGCTGCCCAAATCGACGCTTTTGCCGGCTCGAATCATTATGCAGCAAAGCCCACGATCACTCCAGACATTCAAAAATACTTTGAGCTTGACGGACATGCTCGCGAGCTTGTCGACACTCTAATTGGCCCCAGGCCCGGAGGGTTCTTCCCCGAGAAAACTTATGAAGTCGCGAGACCAGCCTATGGCGGAGGACCCGCTGGACCTCAAGATGGACTGGCGCAGATTGGTAATGCGATCAGCAACTTCTTCAATGGCCCACCAGCTCCTCAAGGAGCCGGGGACTTGCAATTGCCTCCAGGCTTCAACCAGGGATTCTCGTTGAATAATGGAGGAAAGCAGGCGTTGAGTTCGTTCCAGGAGAACGGGAGAATCGCTGTAAGTTTGACAGCTAATTGCATGGATTTTGGGGATTTTTTTCCATCCTGTACTTGCCCTATTTTCAGCATGCCCCAGTGGAACAGCAAGCCGCGGAAGTCCAGCGATCGCCCTCCAAGTCGTCCATCTCTGGAATCCCTTCCGACTACCCAAAGCTCCCAAAATTCCCATTCTCCAGTAATTTTGACCCCAATGGAGCTTCTCCATCCGTTCTGAAGGCCGCTCCAGAACTCCCAAAGTTCGCTAGCCGCCCAGAAGTCCCTGAAGGAGGATTTGGCGCCATGTCCGACGTCCGGCGGTACCCATCTTCGGTCTCCGAAGCCGCTCAAAAGCCTTACAGTTCCTCGGCAACCAATGGAGAGTACAGCGAAGATACATTGACTGATGAACCACGGCAAGCTGGTGGTTTGATCGGCACTATTATGGATCTGTTTGCCATGAGCAAGGACAAAGAGAACCCACCAGACATGGGCAACATTGCCAAGGGTAGGGGAATTGCTTTCGTACAATATTTCTGTCATTTCTACGACTTATTTGTATTTTTTAGGTGTCGGAAACCTCTTGACTGGCCAAAACTCCCCACTGCCCGGAAAGAATATCGTGAACAATGTTTTGTACAAAGCGTTGACTCAGAATTCAATCGATTCCAACTCCTCTAGCCTTCCCAAATTCGACTTTGACTCCAGCACTCCCATCACTTTGAACGAAGCCCAGCAAAAAGCGATCGCCGAGAACTTGGAGATGGTCGAAGGTCTGATCATCCAGCCATCTTCTCCCCTGTGCAATCCCAAGCCTGAACCTATCACTGAAATGAATATTGATGCGTTTATGGGCACTTGGTATCAAGTTGTGTACAGTCCACCTCTCTCTTCAACCCCTTGCAGTATGGTGACTTACAAGAAGATGAGTGACGTTAACCCTCAGAATGGAGGAATCGGAAGCTTGTTTGAAGTGTTTGAATACAAGACTGGAGGTGCTCCATACAGCAAGCCAACGATTACCAGTGGATTTGCTATTCTGAAGGAGATTGGAGAGCTTATTTTCAGGACCACCGCCAACAAGGAGGATGTGACAGGTAGGGGAAAAGTCTTTTATATCTAAATCATCACGAAAGCTGCCTCCATCAAATTTGCTAAACAGATACATAGTTCATTGAATAACTCTCAAATGATATTATCTGCCAAAGAAAAAAATGTTTTTGAATACTAAAATACCTAATTTTAGTTTACATCATCCATAATGGCCCGATCAACCAAAATGGCCAATATGAATACGTTGTGATGTCGACCAACTGTAATTACCCACTCTATGTGTTCGCCAGAGACCCCATTCTTTACAGACAGGTGAGGTTTAAAAAAATCTTACTGTAACATACGAAGATGAAGACTTTACTTAAAGTCATCATTTTTTGATATGGCTAGTATCAGGTTGTGCATTCTCGTGCCGTATTTTACCTCAAATTTGTTTCAGAAATACGAGAAACAAGTGCTTACCTACCTGGAGAAGCGCGGCATCATCAACGGCTTCTCGAAGCTCTTCAACACGGTAGCGCCGGTGGACGCGAGCACCTGCACGTTCCCTCCCAACCTCTTCAACTCACAAGTCTAGAGCAAACAACTCATTTCTATTGTAACACCTGATGCCATTTATCGTTCTCAATCTGTTTAAGAGTATTTAGTAGCATATCTGTATCTTAGTAATGTTTTCACCGTTTTATTTTACCACGAGCCCTCTCAGTCGCCCTTCATGAACCGGATCGTTGAGAAAATTGGAAATTTTGATAAAAAATTGGGGTTATAATGGAAAAATTTGTATTCATATATACTGTAAATATTCTCTACAGTATCCTCGAAAATTTCTGAGCGCAAAAAACCGTCATCATGACAGATTTTTTGACCTTTTTTCTACTTTTCTCCCATTTTTTGCTGATTCTTCCAAATCCGATCCAGTTCCGCCGGTTTTAACGTTTTGTAAGTAGCCTTTACCCCACTTTTCTACTGTATTTTTGTCTTTCATATAACAATCAGCTCTTTCGCCAGTCTCACTACCTGTTTCCAGAACATTCCAGCAGTCTTTCAGTGGATTTCTTCGCATATTTCGCTTTCAAAATGCCTTCTAAAGGTGAACAAATTTTTTGAATAGAAATTTATTAATATATATCTGTTATAAACTTAATAAATCTGTTAATTTGTACTTTTAAGCCAAAAATTGATAAAAAAATTGGGGAAAATTGGGTAAAATAATGGAATTTACATCAAAATTAGGCAAAATTTTCAAAAATTCAAAACAAAAAATCTCCAAAATTAGTCGTAATACAGAGCCTCGACCAAAAATCGATAGCCTCTGTAGACGACATGTAGAAGATAATAACAGATATAAGCGAAACACAATAAAAGAGCCCCGGCGACTGTTACAGTAGTCCCGGAGAGTTGTTTCATGAAGCGGTAGAGCTGGCGGTTGCGACGAAATTGCGATGGAAGACCCCACATCATCATGTAGAAGCCAAGGCAGACAACTCCGATGGCCGTGAGGAACATTATCGCGAATATTGTACCCTAAAATACGGGAATGTTAAGGAAAAAGGGAGGTTACAAAGGGTAATCGCAGAGTATTACAAGGTTTTACGCAGATTTGGCCTAAACTTTTCTTACAAAAAAACTTTTTACTCGCGTTTTGCAGAAACCAGAGAAATTTGGGTCAAACGCTGCAACGCTGGAAAAAATCGGTTCTTTTCAAGCTTTTTGCCACTCGAAAATTAGCATTTTGACACCTCAAGATTTTTTTTAACCATGCCAAACTCAAAGGTTCTCCCATTCCCAATTTGATCCCACAACAATCCCAAAACATGCAAAAATTCTTCCCTGCACGGTGCAAAAATCACCCACTGAATTTGCACAGTGCGCAAGCTTGCGCAATTCCATTTCCCCTGGATTCCAATCCCCCATTCCCAAAATTTTCCCGTTTCGGGATCAGAAATCAGCAAAAACATCCAAAACTCCATGCGACAGCATGTCGCAAACCTTTGTCGCAGAAATCAAACTTGAGTTGTCGCCATTCGCCCGCGACACAGTCAATTTTCAGTGGTTTGTCGCGGATTTCAGTCAAAATCGCAGCGATTCCGATGTGCGACATCAATTTTGTCGCAAAGATGACTGAAAATCGCTGCGATTTGGCTCCGCGACAACAAATCTGTCGCCAATTTTTCCAAAACTTGCTGCGACAAGACTCTTGCCATGAAGTTGAAAAATGTTGCGACAAACCGAGAGAGTGTGCGATTGAGAGAGGGTGGAAGAGAAAAGAAAAGGAAGCATGGCAAATCCAAAATGATCGAAACGAGCGCGACAAGGAATGCACGGTGCATCGAAAATTTTGAAGGAATATTGCACTGTGCAACCAAAATGACCGAAACTGAAGACGCACTGTGCGGTCGGGAAAGTTTGGGAAGGTTTGTTGGCAGAGAGGTTTCGGGATGAAATTTTAACGGTTTTTGGGATTTTTTGAGCAGATTTAAACAAGTTTTAATCTATTTTTTTCCTTCCCATAACCGCCAATTATAATGTCTGTCACGGATGACATCGAAATTTTTGAGTATTCCCCTAGACTTACGTGTAAAATAATGTGAGGCCAATAGAGTGCCGGGAAGTTCTTCCGATTCCCAATCAACAACAAAATTGGAGGTAGAGCCGTAATCACCGGTAATGTCATTGTCAAATACTCCCATCTGGAGGTGCTGAGGAACGGAATCAAACTGGCGATCCATTGGAGGCAAAACAAGAGGGAAATAATAAAGGTACCCATCTGAAAGATGTAAGTTTTTAGTCTTTTTGAAATCTGAAAATTGTAAAACTTCAAAATATTTTGATGTCAAGTAAATATTATGGTTATCTTACATGAACATGCATTCCACAACAACATCGATAATATTCATCTTCCTCGAGATGTGCTGGCAGTATGGAATCCCGATGCGAAGCGGCGAATTCAATGCTCGCTGATGAACAGGAGCGCCCCTTTGAGTCCAACATTATCGATTTTTGGCCCAAGTTCTGGCTAAAAATAAGGTTTTCAGGCTAATTTTTAAAGTACTGTAAATCCTGATAAAACGCAAATTATAAATTGACGACAACTTTTGGTGGGAAGTTTCTCAAGTCACGATTTTTTTTTAGACTTGAAGGAATCACCATGTTTTTCCCACACTGTCATCAATTGTGTAATAAATCTCGGTAACTTACATATAAATCATCTTATAAGTTCAATTTGAGTCTTGTAAATATAACTCGTATGTAGTTCCGAAAAAGTTTTTAGACGATAGAGAAAAGCGGCTCTCCCAGCGTTAAGACAATGGATAACAAACATGTTGATCACAAGTCATCAACTGTCTTAACGTCAGTAAACTGTGGTTTGACAACAAAGAGAGAGGAGGGTAGTGACAAGTGGACTTTTAAAATAAATGATGGGTAGGTAGTTGGCAGATGGGTCAAAGTACTTGTGATTATGAGGACGTTAGTAATTATGATTTTTTATCGGACATGTCTATAAACATGTTTTTTCTTTGGAAATTAAGGACTAAAAATAAATGGGCTTGGTTATAATGCAAAAAAATCGTAAAGTATTTCCTTCCTAGCTGATTTTGTTGGAAATGACAACGATTGTTTTTCACTAGGTTCAAGTGCATTACAATAAAACCCTTTAAATTCCAGAAAAAAAATCAAAAAATCTTATCAAAACAAACTCAAAACACTATACAGGGTGTCCAGAGAAATTCCGCGGAAAGTGTTTGCCGATTTCTCGGCGCTTATGCAAGATATCCCAAAAATTCTTTTTGCATTAGAAAGAAGACTATGGGCGGTTTTTTGTCTAAAAAAGTTTTTTTGTCCGCCGACGCGGAACATACTGTATTCGGCGGAGACTTTTGGTAGCTTTTTTGGTCATCACACCAATCTTATGCGCTTTACTATGATCCTGAAACTATCGGGAAGCCTTCGGTTTTTTCCACAGAGGATCAGGGGACCGACGACAACGCTATGCAATCGCATTTAGCGACTGCACCGCACTGTGTAGTTGCGTCAACAGCGATGAAGTCCGACCGCATCGTGCGAAGGTTAGAAACAGCGGGGCAAAGAGAAGTTCAAACAAAAAATATTTTGTTGTTTTCTGGTACACCAAGTCGTTTACTGATGGCTAAGCTGCTGCCAAGGCTTGGCGACAAAATTTTGGAGAGCATATGGGATCAGCAAAGAATGCTAGCCACATAATGTTTGGGGCATCTCCTATCCAAAGCTGAGTTGTGGCCTCCGCCGATACGGAAAGCTCGCCATTCCATTGCCGAACGTTTGGTAAACATAAAAATAAGTTAACATTCTCTTTTTAACCATCAGAAATCATACTGCAGCTTTTAAGATTGGTGTGATGACCAAAAAAGCTACCAAAAGTCTCCGCCGAATACAGTATGCTCCGCGTCGGCGGACAAAAAAACTTTTTTAGAAAAAAACCGCCCATAGTCTTCTTTCTAATGCAAAAAGAATTTTTTGGATATCTTGCCTGAGCGCCGAGAAATCGGCAAACACTTTCCGCGGAATTTCTCTGGACACCCTGTAGATACACCATTATTAGCTCATAAATTCCAGATTCCCCCAACAAATCACATAAAACCATTCAAAGATATAAAAAATCTTGGAAGTCCACCTTATTTTAGCCTTCAAATTCCGGAAATCACCGAAATACTTCCAAACTTGGACAAATCCGGTTACAACTTTTCGCAATACCACTTGAAACGCTGAACGCACTCTTCCCTCCACTCCCACCTCAACTCATTCAAACCTATTCGACCTTAAGTTATATTAAAACGAAAAAATGGCCCAGAACTGGGGCGGCGAGGAAGCCCGATTAATCTTTTTTTGAGGGGTGCCGAATGTTTTGATCCCCTCCGGCATTCCACTGTTTTTTGGCCTGATCTGTTTCCCGTTTCTCACGGCTTTCCCCTCGGATTCCGTTAATCTTATTTTAACAATTGGCTAATTGGGGGGTCGAGTGTCAAAAATAATATGACTTTTTGATGATGACTTGTGACAAAGGGCGAAAAGTTTGGCACCAATTGGAGTTTACAGTCTTTCAGAAAACGTAAAAGCAAAAAAAATAAATTTTTTTTGAGAATTTGTCATCAAAAATTGAAAACATTAGAAAAAAATTAGTTTCACAATCTATTAAAAAAATTCTCACGTAAAAATCTCACATTACCGACACATCCCAATTAGTTAATGACCCAAGGGAATTGGCAATCAAAGAAAGCTGTAATGGGATAAACTTTGGTCCGGACCGGGTAAAACTGACTTTTATTCGCTTTGAGCCAAGAAAAAAAAACAAATGGGACACTATATCACGCCAAACTGCTAATTAATCTACTAAAGAACACACCTCACAACATGTTTAGTCATCAACGTATCATTACACAGCTAAAAACAGGTGTCAACAAGTCAACTACAGTTAAAACAAGATTGTTTACCCGAAAAATCATCCTTCATTCCGGATAATTTATAGAACATCCGGGTTCATGGTATTGTAGGTCTCCCGGAACATGTGTTTCCTCCTTGGAAAGAGGCCAAGTGTCCCATGAATGAGAGTTTCCCCGCTGGGTGAATTGTTATTTCCGGTACTTATAATCAAATAAATTTTATGGCGATAAACAAGGAAGAACTTTGAGTTTAGACGGGAAAACAAGATTTTTATGTTTTTGACAACTCTAAAGCTTAGCATTTTTCGAGAAAGAATGAGAAATCCCCGGCTTGCGCTTGTCAAAAACTGTCGCGAATTTGTGGCCCAAATTTGTCAAAAAAATCGACGGTTTTTCTGGACTTCTAAGTTCAAAAATTTCAATTTTTTTAAAAATTAAAAACAAAAAATCCAACAATAAATTCCCACTAATTCTTACGATCTCCTTGACTTAGTTCATGTTAATATTTATCAACTTTGTATTACCTTATGTAATTTTTTAAAGTTTTAGTCATTTTTACGCACACCAAAAATAACCTTTTCGTCGCATTTCTATAGCTTTATGAAAACAAAAACAACAAACAACCTGTAACAGATGGTGATTAACAATAACTTCATGCCACTGCTTTGCTTCTCTTTTGCTGTGGTGCATCTTTGGTTTCGGGGCTCTTCCGTTTCTCTTGGTCCTCTTGTAATTTCAATTTTCTTTGCCATTCTTTCAGTACCAATTCTTTGAGTTCTCTTTCAAAGAGTAGTTTATAAATTGAGGCTAGTCGATCAATTACCTAAAATAACAAAAAATTGCACTATTAGGACGAAATCGACCCTCTTTTCTTTCGCCTGAGGCTAAAGGTCTTATCTTACCTTCAATTTATTCCAATCAGCGACCATAAAATCGGTGGCCACAGCCGTATTCCCACTACTAATAAGTTGATCGCTCAGAACTGGACATCTTGGATATCTGGCCGAGAAATGGGACAAGATCACATGTTTTGCTCCCATTTCCTTTCCAATTTGAATAGCCTGTCCCGTAGTGCTATGTCGTTTTCTCTCCGCATCCTTCGCAAACGAGTCTTCAAAGGTGGCTTCATGAACGAGAAGATCTGCTCCTTGGCCTTGAACTGCCAAATTCTTGCAGGGTTTGGTGTCTCCGGACATTACAATCTTCTTTCCACATACTGTTTCAAACACAAACCCGGACGCCATTCTCGTGTGATGGACAAAGACCGCCTTCGCAGACCTTAGATTCCACTCTTCCGGGTTGAACAATTCCCGAGGAAATGCTGTTACAGTCTCAATCCAGAGCTTGTCAGGTAGTCGGAGGGGTCTTTGGTTCTGTGGCATTGCGCGTTCACTAAAACAGAACGTGTAAAATAAAAAATATTTTTAAAATTTATAGTATCCATGGCAAAATTAATGTAAAATAAGGTCAAAAATAAATAATATTGTCTGACCTACCGTTCAGGAGTCAAAGGTCTGCTGAGAACAGTCGTATCGATCCATTTTACAACCTTTTCAAGCCTTACAAAGTTCTGAGAATACAAATTGAATGGTCTTCGGACGACTTGATTACACACGATCAACAAGGGTTTATATGAAATACCTGAAACAAAATATATTACTTATAATCCACTCAAATCATCATGCTTACCTTTATTTTCAAAAGCTTTCATCCTTTGCTCGACAATCGTAAACAATCCATTTATATGATCAAGGTGTCCATGAGTAATAAATACCGCATTCAGATGGATCATGATGTCATCAGTGATTTGTGGGCCGAACAAGACCTTCATTTGGCCGTAGGTTCCTTCCCCACAATCAATCATAACCGCAGAGCTGGGGGAAAGTCGCAGAAGATATCCGCTGACATTACGGTACTTGGTGGGGCATGCAGAAGAGGTGCCGAGGAATGAAAGTGATGGGAATTGGGATTCAGACGAGTCCGTGAGGGAAGAGGCTTCTAAAAATTTCGATATTACGCAAGATAATCGGGAAAATTATAAAAAATTATATTATCCATAAAAAACTTGATGTTACTTTGGAAATTTGAGTAAAAAATTTTCTTTATTGAAAAATTACCACCTAAACGTTACTAGTAAATCACAATAAACCTATTCCAACCTGTTTTTAGACCAAACTACCTAAAATTTTATATTATCCTTACCGCTTCTGAACTTCTCAATCTCATCCTTCAATTCAGGTACAAAAGTCATTCTCTCATCCAATTCATCATTCCCCAATACAAAGTACGAGTCCTGAGACAATGCATTTCCTCTGATTGGATACTTTTCATATGTCTTAGGCCTCAAAACATTCGTATTTTCTTCGGGCGCTACCAATTTTTGATGGATTTTCCCAGTGATATCGGGATAAAGCCTTGGGAAAACATGCTGATCCAGTTGATTTAATATTCGCTGATTATTGTAAGGTCCGTCGATCATGGGGACAGCTTCTCCTGAGCCATTAACGATCAAATGAAGACAAGATCGCCCAAAGTTGGCAATAAATTCTTGGTATTCTTGTGATTTTATGACGTTTTCGGGGGAAAAGTGGACCACATATCCCAATTTTTTTGTCTGATCGGCTCCAAAATATGGCTAAAATAAAAAATAAAGTGATTTATAAAGATTTTGATTTTTTTCTTACCAGAAGATTAGAATTAGTGGCTACTGATCGAATTTTTTCGATATTATCAATGTCCACAATCAAAATTGAAGAAGCAAAGTCTTCAGTGACGTCCATTAGGACGTCCTCTGGCTTCACAATGTCACCATTTGCCAACTTTATTGAATTTCCAGCCTTTAATTGACCGATTAACGGTCCCTTGGGGACCTTATGCTTGATCAATTTCATGGGGTCTATTGATTGGTCCTTTGGCTGAAATGATCCAAAATTTGGTAAATACATCCTATAACAAGTTAATTTTCTATACTCCTAAACTGAACGCAACTTACTTTCATCTCAATGAGATATGCAGTATGAATAAATGGAGCTTCTAGCCCATCCAGCTTATGTGGAGCAGTATCTGTCATGCTAAAAACCGGGATGTAGAACACAGTCAACGTTCCATCTTCGAATTTCACATTTTCGAATGTTCTCTCTTCCACCGAACATGGGAACTGGGCATTTCCGTAATCGGCATCCATAAATGGACGAATGGTCGTGAGATATTCCTTCACATTGCGAGGGCCATGCAGCCGTACCAACTGCTTGTCTTGAGCATCTTTCGTCATAAGAAGACCACCAATGCCACCCATGCAATCCCAGACACCTGGAATTGGAAAATATTATATTGCACACGGTCATTGATAAGAAAATGGCTGGAAATGCCGGAATTTTGACAATTAAAAATCACTGAAATCCAGAATGCATGCACACGCACTGCAAAATCTAAAAATTAAAAAAAATTATCAAAACTAACTTACCCCTAGTAACAAAGAAGTCGTGCAATTTGTTTGGCGATAAATGAAGTGTAGATATAAATCTAGATGTTCCTTCTGGAACATTGAACATGTATGACTCTGTTTGCGTCTTCAGGATTACAGACGGCGCCATTTGAGAGCTTCCATTACTTAAAATCTGAAAATCAAATTATTTTAGGTATCAAGTGTAATGTAATCCCCAATTTAGATCAAGGAATTCCTCAGGTAATCAACCTAAAGATTGAAACAAATAAAAGCTATCATAATCTTACCTCTAAGGATATAACCGTCGGTCTGAGACCAGCCATTTCGTTGAGAAAACTGAGTCTTTCCAAGGTCTTCTTCTTTTTGTGAGATAAACTATCTTCGATGTTTGAAATGTTACGCTGGAGTAGACGAGCTTTTGGATGACCGTAGACTAATCGTCGAAGCTCCCTCTTGTATTCGTCTACTTGATTTGTCAAATTCGCAATGAATTCCTCGTCGGACTTCCCTTGACTTGTCGATGAAAAAGAAAAAGGCCTAAGATTGAAGGAGAATTGAGATGATCGTGATGAAAATGAGGCGATTACCGCTCTTGAATGTCCGAGGGATAAAAGTAATACCCGATTCATTCACTTTTCCGCAAAACTTCCATTGAACAGCCTAGAAAAAAAGAAAAATAAAAAATAACGGTAAATCAGCTGTCATGTACAACATTCCGCAAACGGCTCAATGGAAATAATATGTTCAAGGTGTCCTACATACAATCTTTGTCATAGACAACAAAACTTTCATCATTCTTCCCCACAAAAATTATTTTTCTCTTGTTGCAACGGAATGCCAAGAATTGGCAAAAAGCGCCAAAAGCGCGGTAATAAGTCGAAACGTAAGAGTTCATGGTTCGAGAGAGCGCTAGATGCGAGAGAAAAAGGTTACCCCAGTCAAAGGGTAAATCGTTTGGGTTTGGCATGTGGTTCTCTACCATGAGTAGGTACCATCATTTCGACCGCCTTCCGGTGTGGGGTGGGATGTCAGACGGGCGGCTGTACTGCATAGTGGGGGAGAGAGAGTCCCACCAATCTACAGATATCTGCAGATACTATTTTTTTTGGAACGGATAGACTTCGGTCTATCCTGATCAACAATAATAGGTGGAATGTTTGCGGGAGCAACTGTGTGTTCTCCCCGTTTTCACTAATTTCTCGTCTTGTCGGTATCTCGACTGAACTTTTTTGTTGTTTTGAAGGCAACGTTACCCTCCGTCCGCGAAAGTTCCTTTTGTATAAAATTAATATATTACTTTAGAGATCTTTCTAAAATCAAAAAATTTGAAAATTTATTCAATTCTCAACAAAAAATCAACAAGAATCAACAGTAAACTCAACAACTTTCTCCATGCTACCGTTTTCTCTTTTCAAATTCGTTCAGTTCCCTTTGAAACAGCTCTTGATACACCTTGACCATCTTCCCGACCACTTTTCTCCGGTTCCATTCCACGACCAAAAAGTCGGTGGCTACTGTAACATTCCCTCGTTTGATGACCTCCTCACTGATTACAGGACACCGCGGGTATCTGGCCGAGAAATGGCTGAGGATTATGTTCTTGGCCATCATTTTCCTTCCGATTTGAAGGGCTTGGCCAGTCGTGGAATGGCGTTTCCTCTCCGCATCTTCGAAAAAAGCATCTTCGAAGGTGGCCTCATGAATCAGGAAATGGGCATGTTTTCCATGGCGGACGAGGTTCTTACACGGCTTCGTATCGCCGGAAAAGACAATCTTTTTGCAATCGGAAGTCTCAAAGACGAAGCCAACGGCCATTGGGATGTGATCCACTGCCACCACAGAGACTGCTTCGAGTCTGGCGATCTGGAGGACATCCGGGTCGAGGCTAAAACACGAATTACGAAAGATATTTGGGTTACCACAGAAAATAGCCCAAGGCAACAATTTTTTTATATTGAAACAGATTTTAAAAATAAAAAAAAGTGTAAAAAAGCTAAATTTCTTACGTTTTCGAAAATTCTGGATCATCACTTTCCATCGTGTACACCCATCTGACGTCATATTTTTTGATACCTCTAAATTTTTCGCAATAAATTTCGAAAAATTTCTTGACATAAGGATGACCAGCCACCAGCAACCTGGGTTCTCTATCAAGTCTTTGGCCTAAAAATTTTTATTTTTAATTGTAACTCGTATTTTACCTCTTCTTTGGAAGGCTTTGGCTCTCTCCTCGATCAGTGTGAATAGCCCATAAATATGGTCGAGATGCCCGTGAGTAATGAAAATCCCTCCCAATGTCAGCATAATGTCGTCGATTTCCGGGCCAAACAACACTTTCAATTGACCATAAGTTCCTTCGCCACAATCAACAAGCACCGAGGAAGTTTGGGATAGTCTCAAGAGGTACCCGCTCACATTTCGGTACTTGATTGGCGATGCAGAAGCCGTGCCGAGGAACGAAATTGAAGGAAATCGAGATTCAGACGGGTCCACTTTCTTTTCACATTCTACAATATTATTTTCAAGATCAGAAATCAAAAATTATGACGTCAGGTAAAAAATCTCGATTTTTTGCAAACTTCTTGGGTAAAATATCAGTAAAAGTATTCGCATATCAACCAACCTTGTTTAAACTTGACGATGGCGTCTGAGACGTTTGGATTTGCCTCCATTCGAGAGACAAGTTCATCTTTATTTATGGTAAAATACGTCTTTTCATTTATCATTTTTTCAAAATTTCCCCTAAGGAAAAAACGAGAAAATGGCGGAGGATAGAAGACTTTGGTCTCTGGCACCACTAATTTCTGAAAAAGTAAAATTAATTTGGCCAAAACTCAGACTTCATTTTTTTAAATTCAAATTTCCCGCCAAAAATTTTAATGCCTGAACAATGTGAAATACAAACCCGGTAAGCCGTTATGACATGAAAAAAACAAGAAAAAAAACTTTTAGCCATTTTTTGTATAATATTTTGCCTTCAAAATCAGCTCATCTTACCCTATCAACATCACCATTAAAATCCGGATAAAGCCGTGGAAAGAAGTTCGGATCGACATAATTTAGCATGTTTTGATTGTTATGGGGGCCATCCAACATTGGAAACGCCTCTCCGGAGCCATTTACGATAAGATGTTGACACTCCTCGCCAAATGATGACATAAATTCTTGATATTCATTAGTTTTTATTACGTCATCAGTGGTAAAATGAACAAGATAACCCAAATTTTTGGTCGGATTTGAATTTAAGAATGGCTGAAATGTAAGTGAACCCGTATTTTAGACAATGGTAGGGAGAAATCTCACCCTTAAGACCTCATTTTCGATTATCGAAGGGATCTGACCAATATTATCTATATCAACCACCAAAACCGATGACAAAACATCTTTCTCAACCTGAGCCAAAGCATCTGCTGGGTTGATTACAGTCCCATCTTGTAGAGTGATAGCCTTTCCAGCCTTTAGTTGGCCGACTAAGGGACCTTTTGGCACTTTTAATTTGGCCAACTTCTCCAGATCAATTCTTCGTTCTTTCGGCTGAAAATCTCTATTTCACTACCAAAAATACATTTTAAATTCTCCTAATCGCCTAGCAAGGCCCTAGAGGTCTCTACTCACCTTTAATTCAACCAAGAAAGCGGAATTATCAACACTTGTATACCTTCCGTCATGGATAATGTCAGCAGCTACTGGAAGATAGTGGACAATCACATTTTTGTCCTCAAAATACTCGTCATGAAACGTTTGAGTCTCGATTTTACATGGAAAACAAGTTTTTCCATCTCGTTTCTCGAGGAACGGACTACTTGTGTAAATTACATTCTCCAAACTGGCTGCACCGTGCACTCGCAAATTTGATGTATCGGCGGGATCTTTGGAGATCAATAGACCAGCTAGACCTCCCATACGGCTCCAGACAGCTGTAAGAAGTTGTTTAGTTGTCGTTTTGGCCGAAGAGTTTTACAATCCAGCAATTTTTTGGATGATATTGTACTAAGTCATCATGTGTAATATTCAAAATCTGGATAAGATTGAGATCCAAAAAGCTACCTTTCGAAATAAATATGTCATGAATATTGCCTGGAGTCAGATTAATCATCGGAATGAACCTTTGTGTTCCTTCCGGGACATTAAAAACATACGCGGACGTAGGTGTCCGCAATACAACAGATGGCTCCATTTGGGAAGCGCCATTACTCAAGACCTGCAAGATACATTTTACTATACTTCTTGGCTTCTTAGCTCCTGGCTGAGGGCAAAAAGATGGCGTCATTTTGAATTCACTTACCTCTAAAGTTATTGTACTAGCCATTACTCAAAAAAATTGGTCAGAGATCTGCAAAATAGAATAAAAAAGTGCTAATGCCTAATGCAAAAATAAAAATTAGGACCCGTACTGTCTAACTAAACAAAATTTTCCTTTCGAAATTCCTTTATATACCCGTATTTCCCAAGATTTCATCATCACCATGTAGAACTTCACTGTTTTCCCCTTTCTCCTCCCCGAAAACCGCAATAAAAACAGAGGATTTCGCAATAACACACAGGGAATTGCTTCAGTGACTCACCAACCACACAAATTTATTAGCTCCACACCCTTCTTCAAGTATTATCAGTCACTTTTATACATTTTTGTTCAATTTTCGATGTAAATATAACTTTATTTCCTGGAAATGTCAATATAAGACTCGATGAAAGATTACTGTAACATTGTCTGTGTGGTTATCACAATGGGATAAAAATTTTTGTTAAAAAATCTAGTTGATATGTGGTGTTTCTAGTCCCAAAATAGCCGCATTTCGCTCAAAATCATGGAAATAAACGTTTTTCCACAAAAAAATCAAAAAATTCTGTTTGACAGTCCACGAAAATCGCGTGGGGAGTCTTTTGGAACACTTGGATATAGCGGGATTTTCTCCTTTTACCAATAATCGGATAAAAATTTACAGATATTTAGACGGGGATGGACAAACTCGATATAACAATATAAATAATATGGGTGATTCTTCATAATATTTGATCGGTCTTCAACGACGCATCATTTCATTCATCGTGGGGGCCTTTTTCTGCGCGTTCGAGCCTAGGGTGAGGCCATCCAGCCTAAAAAAATATAAAAATTACCTTATACTTGACAAAACTCGATTTAAAACTGATATAACTTGTAGAATACGGGGTCTATTGGGTTCCAAATAATTTTTAGCTTCATTACACTTACTGTTTTTCCATTAACGACCAGGCATCACTCTTTTCGACCGGTTTTGTGACCCCATTTCCATTGCTGAGCCCGTTGCTAATATTGTTGAGGATTGGCTGAGGTTGAGCGACTGGTGTAGCGGCTGGAGCTGCGCCAAAGCTGCCGAAAATGTCGTCCAGATCACTCGGTTTCCTACAAAAATTTTCTATAGAAAAGATTGACTATGTCACCCGATAAAAATTAATTTTTTGTGTACACAATGTGCTCCTCACTTGTAAATTACATAAAACTTACCCAATTCCACTATTTAGACTTGCTGTTGGCTGGACCGGGCTTTGAACCGGGCTCTGAACGGGCGCGGTAAAATCTCCAAACAAATCTGCGGCCGGCTGAGGGGCCTGTTGAATTGGCTGACTAGCAAAAAGATCAAAGGCCGGGGCATTTTGACTCGTTCCAAATCCAGAAATCGCTGCTGGTTGTGGAGCCGGAGCATCAAAATCAAGGTCGAAAAGACTGGCTTCGTTCTTGGCGGGGGCTTGAACTGGACTAGAGGGGCCGCTGGGTGGGCGTGGGCGGGTTTGACTGGATGGGGCTGGGGGTTGAATGGGGGTGGCGAACAAATCATTGGACGGGGCTTTGGCTCGCGTTAGACCTAGTGTATTATAGGCCGAGGACTGATTCCCCGCTGGGCCTGAGTTTCCTCGAGCGTCGGCAAAATCTCCAAACTCGTCATCATCCACTGGTTGGGATTGGGAGTGCTAAAAATTGAAGAAATAACAATAAAATATTGCACTTACATCTGGAATTCCAAGCTCCGGAGAGGCGGTTCTCTGTCGGCCGTCGTCAAAATCAAAGGCCGTTACTTCCCGGGATGATTTAGGTTCTCTGCAAACATTTTTATAAACTAAGAGACATCAAAACATCAAATTTAAATTTTTTATATTGTACTTGATCTTCTACCCAAAACCATGAATTTAAATATAAAGAATCTTATATTTTTGGTTAAAATAAAATTTAAGGCACCTCATAAATTTCCTAATCCCCCATTTTAGTCCAAAAATAAAAAAATAAACCCACGGTAAATCATCGAATTTATCCTTTCGACTGTTGAATCCACCGCTCGATTTTCGATCCCAATTATCAAAACTGCTCGACTTGGAAGAACTAACGCCTCCTTTCATCATCATATCTTCTTTGGAGTACCCTTGATACTTATCCTTGTTCTCTCCTCTAGCTTTTCGACGTTCCTCTACCAAAAGTTCATCATCTTGGAGCAATTCGATGATTTGTTTTACTCGATGTCGGACTTAAAATAGGCCCAATTACATACAAATATCGTATTTTACAAATAAAACCCTTTTTCTGGCTTCTAAACACAGAAAGAAAAACGAAAATAACTTACTATTGACTCCTTGATCTCTTCCTCTTTCGTCCACGCATTTATAATTTTCCAGTGCTCTCATTTCGAATAAATGGTCTCTGGCGTTGGAGATTACCCGTTCATTTCCAAGCTTGATAAGTCCTTGAAGCAACATCAGCGACTGAAATATTACTTAATATTGTTTTAGGTATAGCCGATATTATTTTAGACAAATCTTAATGTAAGAACGGTTCGATTTTAATTTAAACCGCTCAGGAAACTTGACTAACCTTATAAACACGTCGCCATGCCAGTTTCGTATCCTGCAACATCCTTTTCCAGAGCATACCCATCACTTCTGGAAAGGCGTCGTATTGGTTGGTAAGTTGAGCAATTTCCTGGATTTGTGGGCCGGTCGGACCCCAAGGATCCTCATTAGTGGCCTCTCGGACCTTCAACTCCACTTCCGTGAAGTTTAGGACATAACCTTGACTAAAAACAGAAACGTATAAAAAATGCAATATTATTTTAGGTATTGCAATAAAAACTTACGCTTTGTCGGCCAATTTCCGGATCTCATAACTGTTCAGGGTGGTAGAGACCTGTTTGGTGAGATTGGCCAGGCCCGAGAATAAGTCTGACATGGTGAACGCTGAAAAATAATATTTTAGGCAACAAATTTTTAAAGGACAGGTAGACAACGTAAAGGGCAAAAAGCAATAAACGAAGCTTTAAAAACAAACTGTTAAAGAGATGAATGAGGTTTAGAGACAAAACAAGCGGACTAATCATGAAAATATTCTCCTTCACATCCGGATGTCAAGTGCAACATAAAATCCCATTGACAGAGATGAAATCTTTTCAACAGACCTTTCAAAAACCTTAAAAAGTCTTTTAAACTGCTTAGTAAAGCGAATGCGCCCGTCTGATTCCTATAACATCAAAAAAATTTCCCTCTATTACCTAAAATACGACAAAAAACAACACACAAGCCAACACGCACACAACAACTATTACTGACACTCCGAGCTCTCCACAGTGGACTGATTTCCATTCAGTGAATCAGAATTCGCGGCTCTCAACGAAGCCGGAGTTCGATTCTTCATGTTGTTTTAGAATAGCTAATGTAATAAGGCCGGCCAGAACTTTTTTAATTTCCTTAAAACCTCCTCCGAACAGCCTCAGGGCAAGTGGACAGCAGGGGCATTTGTTGACTTTTGATTCGGATCGAGAGCTGGGACATTTGGCAGGGAAACGGGGGAAGAGAAGGGATGTTTATCCGAAAGGGCGTTATTTATGGCGGCTAAACCTGTTAGGGGTGATGGGGAAGTGTCACAAAATGTTTAATAAGGGTATATGTTTCTTTCAAAAGTTTTTCGGAGACTTTTTTTTGAGTCTCGGCTGTATTGTAGCTAATTTTATACCTGGATACCTACTACAATATAATTTTGTTTCGTATAACTCCGGAAAAGTCTACCTAGTATCTCAGAATACTATAGAAACAAGGTAGACACTATAAGGGCCCTTAAAATTTGCCGACCTTCCCAATATCTTAGCCCTAAGCCATCGCCCATTCATCCGATTATCTCCACCTTGCACACCCGCTTGCCTGAAGCCGTTCGGCACAACAAACCGCCGAAAAATTAATTCCTTGAACCCGTCCGGAACCAAAAATAAAGCCGAACGGCGAGTTTTTCTTCACACTTCAGGCCATTCCGGTTTTGATTAGTTTCGGCCGAAATGGGCCGCGCTTGTAAAACCCAATGTTTTTACAGACTGAATCGTACACACATTAGCATAAGGCAACTCCGTGGAGGATAGCACGACCAGCTACAGAATGAAACATCATTTTTCTGGTCAAAAACTCATTTTACCCCCATTCAGATGTAAAACAATATATTTGAAGTGTTATGTCAATGAGATTTGTGTCGAAAAGCATTACAAACCTCACTGTCCACTCAAAGGTTAAATATTCTTGCCTCGAATCTCAAAACTGACAATAAATCAAGACTTCCGGACATTATCCATGATAAATTACTTTATTTTTTCTAGGATAATTTACCGCACAGCCCTTTGTCAAACCCTTTCCGGCATTTTGAGACAAAAATTCGTTCGAGGATGTCTAAATTCGTAGGATTTCCGGCCGAAACGTCCTGTTTGTTACCTAAATTCGGAAAAAAGAAAGAAAAAATTTTTATTACCCTTGAAATCCGGAGGTGAGAGAGCAGGTTGACCAGATTCAGACCCGTTTTTCGGACTGGAAATGCATCTAGATGCACGACACGGAGGGAAAAACGGGAAAGAACAGAGCTCTGATTATATTATTCATGGGGAAATTGAGCTTGATGGAGAAAAAATGAAGAGAAGTTTCGATAAAGTGGAAACGACAAGTCGAAATGGATGTTATAAGGTGTGAAATGGCGTAAGACACTTTTTGATTTTAGAATCTACCAGTTTGGGGGGAGTTTTGACAAAGAAATTAGTCAAAAACATTATTTTAGGTAACAAAATTTTGAAAATAAAAAGTAACGCCCGAAAAAAGTTCTAAAAACGGTTGGAACTCCAAAAAACGGATGTAAATCATTGAAATCTGAGGAATTAGCGGCCTCCGTCGATTGACACGAAACGCCACATCACCCGAAAAGAGAAAAACCGGAGAGCGCGTCCTTGGGATAAAATAAAATCTTTCCTTTTCCGCTAATACTCGATATCTAATTCCCCAGATGGCTGCAGAAGCTTATACCCGCGGATTGCTGTCGCTATGGAAATGAATTTATGAAATAAACAAAGACGTCGACGCCTTGTGGACCCATGCTCCGACAAGTGTAATATAATTGGTCAAGGGCACGAAATTCCTTGGGAATTTGGCTGGAAAATGAAGAGAATGGTCTGAAAGACTCCGTTTTTTGCGTGGATTCGCATATCGTTATCAGGAATCATAACAAAAAGGGCTGTTATCAAAATGTTTCTTCAGAAAAATGAAGGGGGCTTCGGAACGTGGATGATTTGCAGGAGAAGGGAGCGAGGAGACGAAATGCGAATACAAAAATAATCAAATTGAAGGAGAGACGGAATCAGGATGTCTCTATCCAAATACCCATTCCAATTCCGTTTAATGAAGGGGGGAACGTTAAGTCTTGATATTGGAGAGAAAAAGACGAAAAAAGCGTGGTAAAGGTCATGCCTGATGGAAAGACGATTAACCCAGTATTTGTGAGGTATTTAGAGGCGTTATAAGGGAGTTTCAAGATTTCTATATGGGATTTTGTCGAGATTTTCAAGTTATATTATACTTGGTCATCAAAAATAAAAAGTGGTCAGAATGGGTAAACTCATAAACAAATTTTGGCAAGGACTGATCCATTAAGGCTTTTGGGGCTTAATGGGGCTATAAAAACCAAGAGCAGTCTGTGGGACATTGAAAAAAATAATTATCATCACTTTTGTCAAGTATAATATAATCGAAAATTTAAGGCAAAATGAATGATAAGAAGTGACGTTGATGGTCTAGGATAGTACAAAAAGAATTTCTGTTATCACAAATGTCTATGAAACACTTTATAAAAGCTTCTTTATACCTCAAATCATCCAAAAGTCAAAAAATCCCTCTGTGATGATGCTATCAAGTACAGCACCATTTTTAAAAACCCAAAACCCCGTGTTTTCCTCATAACCACTCTTCAAAACAACCCCTGTCAACCTTTGACCCTTCAAACGTATAATCTTCCACCCATCAGGGCTCTACCATCATATAAAACATGACTTTCTCTTTTCTCTTCTCGCTCTAAACCCCACGAACTCTCCCATTTTACCGAGGGGGGACAAGGTCGAAGTTAGAAACACTCGATCGCCCACTTTATTTGCTCGAAAAGGTAGTTCAGCTGCAGATGGAGGCCGATCGAAAATGGGCAGAAACAAAAGAAGAAATGAGCTTTGAAGAAGGGGAGAGATCTCCCCTTAGAGATGGGATTTGCGCTACAAAATACATATCAAATACAGTGTAAAATAAAAGATTTTGAAGAGGAGATTGTTGAGTAACAATTCATGTAATAGAAAATGCAAAAAGGCTGTTCTAAAATACTGTTTCAAACTTTTTAGAAAATCATCACTACAAATGTCATGTACAGGGTGGGGCATCTTTGTGGCCCGATTTGAATTGGCTATAACTTCTTTAGTTTTTGGCCAAATTTTAAAATTCTTTTTTTCCCTGAATCGTCAGCCAACCCCATTTTGTTTGATACCAAATATGTTATACATAGTAAGTGTATATCTACAGTTATTGAATTTATTCTTGGAGTTCATTTTTTCGGTCGTTTTTCGGTTGTTTTTTCGGTCTTTCCCGGTGTGTCCAGAAATGGAGTACGGTCCGGAAGAAAAATACGGTGGAATTTACCCTCCCGAAAATCGACGATGAGAATAAGAACAAAAAGTGTAGATCAACCTCCAGAGTTCGTCGAATGGTCCATGGTGAAGGCATTCCCTCGGTTCTGGCCAAACTTCGTGTACTCATAAGCGGATTTTCTCGGAATTTTGACAAAACTTCTCTAATTTTCAATTCCGTTCATACCCATCTTTCCTGCTTTTTTGTTTCCTGTTAACGCTGGCAGTCTCAAGAAACTTATTCCATGAACGTCGAATTGTCTTGCGATCTGGAGGTTAGGCATTACGTCCGTATTTCATGCGGTATCCCCATTTGAAAATTTAACGTCGAACCGTACTTTCTATACCAAACCACAGACCAAGCCTTTTCTTCCACACCGGACTCCATTTTCGGACACACCGGGAAAGGCCGAAAAAACAACCGAAAAACGACCAAAAAAATGAACTTCAAGAATAAATCCAATAACTTAGATGACACTCACCTATGTATAACATATTTCGTATCAAACAAAATGGGGTTGGCTGACGATTCAGGGAAAAAAAGAATTTTAAAATTTGGCCAAAAACTAAAGAAGTTATAGTCAATTCAAATCGGGCCACAAAGATGCCCCACCCTGTATAATATAAAAAGCGGCCTGAAATGAAGAAAAGATACGTCATAGTCTTCTAAAATTTTGTTGACGTCTTTTATGAAGGCCACCTGCAAATTTGTAAAAGTGAGAGGCCATTAATTATACGAGGGTTGCAATAAATAACCATTTTTTGTAATCGGCGGTTCTTGTTTGATGATTTATTTTAAAGTTGTAATTCTCATGTTGCAAATGTCAGAATCTCTTCAAATTTTACATACATGCTCTACACGGGTTGTGTATTAACTCTGGAAAGTTCAAAGTTCTACCTCGCGCTTGGCAAGGAGATATTCAAAGAGCTTTGCAAAGCGAGAGACAGTGGTTAATGAGGAGAGTCGGTGAGAGAAAAAGAGAAAAAAAATGTTTTTGACATTTCTTTGTGCGCTTGTGTCAAAACAAATATTTTTTTTGTGTAAATGTCGTATCTGATATTCGAAACAGACTCCAAATTTTTTAATCGTCGTCGGAAAATGAAAGATTTTTGGATTTTTGCAAGTTTTTACCCTAAAACTAAAGTCTCGTTGATCATCTATGCATGCCAGAGATGTCGCATATATTTTATAAAACTCTTTTTCAAATTGTTACAAGCTTTATCAAGAGCGTGGGAGTATCGAAAGCGTATTTTACATTCATTTTTAATCATCCTTGCACGTTTATACCTACAGTAAACGCAAAATTTTCCTTCCTACTTCATGTGAAGACCCCATAAACTCCAAGAAATTTCCACCCGCATATTCATAATGAAATTTAAAATTCAAAACTGCAAGGAATTATAAATTAAGATGCCAGTCTTTATATGGCACGGAATTTTGGAATTCCTTCATTAACTTAGCTATACTTTTTTTTAAATCACTCTCTGTCTACTGTAAGATCGGAAAATGATTTTTTTCTTTCTTCCGGTCCGGATTCTGAATTATTTTTGGTCTGAAATCACTTTGGAATTAATAAATTTGAGCGGATGCAGATGTCTGGGACAATGGGAACAATTTATGGGGGATTGCTCATGCGATTGCCGCATTTTTAAAAAGACGGAGCTGCGGGAAACCTGAGGGTTTTTATAGTCGTATGTTTCAGCATAACAAATTTTGATGACAATAAATTTGTGTTATGAAGGTCCTTTGAATGGGCAACATTTAGCCTTCTTTAAAATCATTTTACGATTTATGAATGTCACTGTATAACACTGCAGGTGTAATTATTAACTTACAAAGAGATTTTTTTTATAGTTCAGTTTTTTAGGACTAAAAACTTTTTTTAATCAGTCTGTCCGGAAAATAATGAGCATTCTGACGCGTCGAAAATGTCATCGAAGCCGGGAAAATGAACTGTGTCGCGGGAAAATAAAATTGCTTTTTACTTCAGTGATGCCATTGGCACAGCGACCTTCTGCTCACTATTTTTCCGACAGACTGATATATCACAATAGATTCTTTGGGTTTGTAAAATACGTTTTTGATACCTTCAGGTGTCGTGTCTAATATAGAGGTGGCAATCGGGCCGGCCCTGGGCTTTTTCAAATTTGCTCAGGCCCGGCCCGGCCCGGTGAAAGCCCAGGCCGGCCCGGCCCGGCCCTGTTTGGCCCGATACTGCAAAAAGGTTGGATAAAACTTTATGCACTCTCTACTGGAACTTTTTATGCCTTCCAGCGGGGTTTTACGTCTATATGAGTGGAATTAAAACGTCTAGTCGGCTGACTGGAACAGCCGAACAGGTACCTAAAACCTAGCCAAAAAGTTGGATTGTGCCGATTTTTTTATCCTATAGAAAGTTAGCTATGTAAAAATATGGACGTTATGAGGCTACATGTTTAATCAAAAACTGCGTAGATGCGTTCATTTACCTCAAGGAATCAAATTACAGCGAAATGTTTAAGTTTATCATCAAAAATTCGAAGATTTGCCCGATCCTTGCATATTTGGGTGGGATTTTACATATACATAATCAGTGATTTTAAAGAGTTTGAAAAGGTGGTAAAACAGTATATAAGTCAAAAAGGTTTGATTTAATATCCATCCAACAATTCTGCTAAGCATTTGTGCTTTATTTTGCTGGTTCAGTATTAATTTTTTTTTTCACTTATCCACCTTCCGGGCCGGGCCGGGCCGAGAGTCTCGGCCCGGCCGACGGGCCGAAGCGGTCAGGCCGGCCCTGGGCTTTTTCAAATCTGCTCAGGCCCGGCCCGGCCCGGCCCAATCACCGGGCCCGGCCGGGCCGGGCCGGCCCAGCCCGATTGCCACCTCTAGTCTAATATCACTCGTGAAAGATATTTGCAAAAAAACAAAAAAAAAAATTTTTTTTAGCTATGCAGGGGAAATACTCCAAGTGCGACGCTCAGATTTTCTTTAAATTTTGCACACACGTCGGGTATGGACTAAATATCAATTCCTGAAAGTTTTAGCTCGCGCTTTGCGGGCGCCGCCGAGATATCGAACGATTTTTTCCGCCCGGAGAGCACGCTAAACGTGGAGAGCGGTCAGAGAGAAAAGCGCTTTTTGGCCATAACTTTGGCAGTTTCGTGCGGAAAAATTTGATTTTTTGTAGAAACATTATCCTTTACGGTTGAAATAGGCATGAAACTTTTTGTGCCAAAATTCGGCAAAAAGTCCTATATTTTCGCCGACCTTCGATCTAAAAATCTCGGTTGTTTCTGCAAAGCGCGAGCTAGGATTCTCGCATATATCTTAGAAAAAATTATTCTAAATTTATGCCAAGTTTCATCAAAATCTGAGCGTCGCACTTGGAGTACTTCCCCTGTATAGATGATATTAGCATTTTCACAAAGTGCCTGGACATGTTTTCGCTTTCGCACAGTGCATCTTGAACTTTTGTCGCCAACGCACTGTGGATTTTTGTCTTCGCGCACCGTGCAAACCTCGAAAAAGCCGATTGCACTGTGCACATTTTCGAGCGAAATCGCAGCGGCGCAGTTGAGAAAAGCTTACGTCGCAGCGATATTTCAAATGCACAGTGCAAAACCAAAAAAAGGTCAATGCACAGTGCAAAAAATCGGGGCGTTTGTGCACAGTGCGCATCGCGACAAATGTCCAGGCACTTTGTGAAAATGCTAATAAGTATTCCGTGTACAGAGAACACTTAGAGACCTCACTGCAGTTGTAAAATACGTCTTGCTTCCTGTATGGAACTGTAATTTTTCCATCGATTACATTTCAATATACGAATTGTAACATTGCATTCCGCAATTTTTTTACATTACTTTAGCTCTATACCTCCTCGCTCTTTCTCCATTTCCGAGACATTTATTCAGATGCTTTTATGCTCTTATATCTCCCGTACATCTTGCCATAACCTATAATTTTATTATATGGGGAGTAAAAGCTTCCCTTTCCCCTCCTCTTACCCCACCCGTCCGAAGGGAATTAGCAGTTACTGATGACCCAAAAAAAGTCAAAAGAAGTCCTCGAAAAGTGGCCAGAAAGGGGCCGGGAAAAGGGCCAAGGCGATGTCAGTTCTGGTTTTTTTTTTGTTTCTCAAATGGCCACAGGCAAATGCTGAGAGGGGTCACTCCGTTTAAGGACACAATCTTTTCAAGTTTAATTTTAGGACCGGCGAATTTGTTTGGGTTTTTATCTTACCGCCCGAGGGGTTTTAGAGGAGGTGAGAAGTTTGGGGATGAGAGAGTTTGGAAGTAGCAGGCTTATTGTTGTAGAATGAAGGTGTTACAGTAAGGATATGTAAAACAATTGGAACGTTATAAAAAATAATTTGTTATAGAGGGGTTTTATTGTATGGAGGCCGGTTTTGGCCTAAAATTAGCTTATAACACTTCGAAATCTCTTTGTTATAGACTAGTTTTGCTGTAGAGAAGTTTGTAAATTATACAGAGCGGCTTTTTATTGTCACCACAAGTTATTTTTTCACAGAAAATGCATCCCAATTTTTGACGAAAATGTTCAAAAATTTTTTGGCGGAGCCAAGTTTGGATGGAATTTATTTGGAATTTATAGAAAAATAACGAGGCTAATTACAGCCTTTGCAGAAAGCAGTATTTGAAAAAATTGAATTTTGGTCCATTTTTTCGGATGGGCATTCCATGAGGTGAGAGCAATCAATTTTCCTAAATTTCTGCATGCTTACTCTAAATAAACCGCATATCATTCCCTGAAAATTTTAGCTCACTCTATGGAGTAACAGTCAAGATATTCAGCATTCATTTTTTCGAGAGACCACGTGAAATTGGGAGGTTCGGAGAGACTGAAAATGTTTTTGTCTGTAATTTCTTTGTTTCTGGGCAGAAAAAATTTGATTTTTTGTATAATCCTTTGGAAGGGCAGTAGTAATTGGCACTGAAATTTTGATGACAAAAATTGCAAAAAAATGTAAATTTTTGCAATTTTCAATAGAAATTTTAAAAAAAATTTCTGTTGACTTCTGAAATTGATTTTCTGGTAATTTCAAAATCTCCGTTGTCCTTAAAAATGCAAAAAAAATATTACATTTTTTTCCGGGACTACAAATTTTTTGTCATCGCTATATAAAAAAACTCATTTTCCTTGCTTTTCCCCAAAAAATCTCCAAAAGTTAATCGCGCAGATCGCCGTTTTACCTATCGGATTTCCCTCTGTTTTGTCGCGACCTTTCTACATTCGATTTGTGTATATATTTCTGCAGCGACATCTGTTATGACAAACCAGATTTTTATCGCCGCGCGAACTCCCAATTATTTGTTATTTTTACATCGCTTTTGTGTTTGTTATAACCCTCATAAGACAGGGTTTATAAGCAAAAACAAAAGAGTTAT